CAGCTTGTTTATCCTCACCATTGCCTTACTATCAGACAACACACCTACAGCTGTTACAAAAACATGGAATATGAGCCACGACTGTAGTGGTTCAGCTGATTCCTGGCCAGACCAGGAAGCAAAGATGGACATATGACGCGCCAAAAATTCAGCTATCTGCATTGCCTTTTCATTAACCATTGGGAGTCACAGTTGAGCAAAGGATGTAGACACTCCCTGGGGGGGGAAGGGGAATGAGAAGGATTTAAAAAAACTTCTTAAGATGACATTGCTGAACAGAATACTGTCTCCACACTGACAGTCACATGAATGCTTGCTGATCAAGTGTTCAGAACTACTTCTGGTTTCATGGGCTTGCGGTGACCCAGGTCTGCATTCTTCAACCCGTATCCTGAGCTCAGGGACACTCATGCATTTGATTTCTGGGAAATAAGAGTCTTTCACATGAAAGGAAACAGCTCATGTAGTAGTATACTTCTGTCTGTGGCCCCGAAAAAACATAACTTTTTCAGGTCTTCTTTTAGTTGTATTTTCTTATAGAAAAAAGAAATCACAAAAAAGCACAAACCCTACCGATTTTGTTTTCTGCCTGGATAAATGGTCCCTTACTTTTATTGGTGGCTATCTCCTTTTTAAACCAATATTTGCCCAGCGTTGTAGCTAACTTTTCCTGGAGCTCTAGTATGTTGCTATTTTCTCTTGTTTTTTGTTTGTATCCACTATGCTATTTAAAATTCCATGCCACACTCCCGAAACCAGTCTCGATTTCCCAACCCAAGATACTCACTTGCCTTCTAAAACCAGCCTTTCCTTTTCCTTGGCTTTTTTATTTCCCCACATATTTTCTCACCTTGTTCCACCCACTCCTGGGGATGAGCAGACAGCTCAAAGCTAACGACGTCTCTCAAGCAAGCAGCCTCTCTAAAGGCACTCCAGATTTTTCACATTCGTCTGTGAGCACATGTTCCCAGAGTCACCTGTCTGCAATTCAACACCCTGTGGACCCAAGGACAGGCCTGAAATGAGGCAGCCCGGGCTCTTTTTCACCCCCAAAATACATGTATTGAGGGACATTTAAAAAGACCAGATGGGCAAGCTTTGTGGGAGACAGCGTGGACTTTCAGTCTGGCAGATCATTGTGTGTCTTCCCTTAGCCACATTTCAGCTTTCATCTTGCAACCTGACAGACTGGGGTAGAAGGAAAAGTAGCAGCTGGAGAAGACAAGACAGGTCACTGATGAGCCCCTAAGGCTGGAGCCACATTTACTGCCCACCGTTTGCAGCCCTGGCATGCGATTGCCATCTGTACCATGCACCAAAATAGCACCTTCACCTCCAAAAAAGCATAATTTCAGTGACGCCCTTGGGTGACTGAGTTGGTGCTAACAATTTTAATTTTTAGAGAGCGGGATGCAGCTGGGTCAGGGAAGACCCCATGGCCCCTTCTCAGCAGTGCTCAGACCAGCGTTCCTCCCAGCTCCCTTTCACAAGCCCCTTGAGAAAACTGCAGATGGAAGAGGCTGGGTGGTTGGAACATCTGCCTGGGCATGCTGGGGATTAGGCCTGGCTTTCCCCAGAGCTGGGTGAGACCTGTCGGTGTTCCGAGGCAGCAGGGATAGCTCTCTGCTCTTAGCAGAGGCAGGGCAATGATAAGTATCTCTCCTGGAAATGGCTAAGGAGTGTGAACACATTTCTCTTTGCCTCCAAACAGTCCCCACACTCAGATTCATGGCACTCGGTGAGGTTTTCCCCCCAAACTTGCTCTTCCTCTTCCCCTCACACACAGTGGGGTGGTGGCAGGGCCACCCCAGAGCCCCTCTTCCTACAGGGAAGAGCACTGTCACTCATGCTGATGGGCAGCTCCGCTTCTGGTCCAGGGAAGGTGGTTCTAGAAATGAGGTCTCAGGATGTTCACCAGGAACTCAGCACAGCTGCTTTAGCTCTTCCCCTCCAAAATTGCCATGCCAAAAAGGGATGTAGCAGTTTTCATCATGTCTTCAAACATAAAACAATCTCCTCCTGCCCCCCCCAGCAAACCTCCATCCAGCACCAACAGGCCAAGGGGCATAAAGTAGCAGCAGCATCCAGGGAGACGTCACGCCGCAGAACTGCAGCTTATCCTGCTCTTCTGAGCGATTGTTCACAATTAACTTTGACAAAAGGACCTTTTTCTGAGGCAGTCGCTGCACTTGGTGGGGCTAACAGTAAAGCAGTCAGACAGCCTGAACCTTGGTCTCAGCCACTTCACATCTTCTGGGGGACCCATCTCCTTGCCTCTCATAGACCACTTATTCCTAACCACGCAGCACCAAGGCTCAGTGTCGTGCTCAGCTCCTGAGCTCACCTGGCTGTCGTGACCATACAAAGAGGTGGCAAAAAGGACAGGGTGGTGGTGCTGGGGAGGAGGGCAAGGAGGAAAGAAGGAAGGAAAGGAGGATGTAGCTGCTGTGCAGAATGGTGACAGGGGAATCTCATCAAACCTGGGAACACAGTGTCTGTAGGTGATTTGATAGTGTAAAGGCCAGTGACATTGGCCAAAAGAGAAATAAGGGCACGAGAGCGAGAGAGAGGGGTGGACAAAATGGTGGCCTTGCATAATCCGGCACAGTGCCTGGGACCCACAAGAGCAAGAAGCCATTTTGCGGTAAGAGACAGGCAGCTTGGGTTTTCTTTTGGGGACACTGGGCTATTAACAGCCATTGCTTGTTCTCCCCTTGTACAGAGTCTCCAGTCCTTTTAGCCAAAGCAGCCTGCATACAGAGGGAGCCAGGCCAGGGCTAGCAACCTTTCAACCAATCTTTTTCAATTCCAAAGGTGGAGCTAAGTAGACAGATGAGGAAAACTAGATGTTCTCTCCCAAAGGAGCAAGATCCTGCTATTGAGGGGTGGCATGGTACGCTGTTCCTGTGTGCGGACTCCTGGCGCCGGTCCACACCCTTGTCCCTGACCATGCTGTCTTTGGTGTCCATGCTGTGAGCTGCTGGTGCCTGTTCAGCGGCAGTCCGTCCAGCCTCCATTGGCACGAGCTTGTCCCATTAGCCCAGATGTCTCTAACACGCAGAGGAAGGTTACATCCTTACTCCCACGTGGTTACTGCCACCCATCATCTCCCACCCCAAGCTTGCACTGCTCTTTACACAAGCACAAAATAAATCCACAGCCACTGCTGCCACCACAAACCTCCTTGTAGTACTGTCCCCCGTCCCTGTCTGAAACCATAAGCCAGGTCATGCCAGAACCATGGGTGGGAGGTAGAGATTGGCAAGAGACAAGGGGATGAGGAGAGGATGCAAAATCTTCCCCTTTCAGTAGCTGGCCATAACCAGGTCTCAGCCAGGGTCACCCGTCTCCCCTTGCATCCTGGCCATGAATACTACTCTGGCCTCGGGGAAGGAGCCAAGCTCCCCTCTCCATCTCCTCTTCCCCCATCTGCATCCCCTTCCAGGCAAGCACCACATCTGAACAGGCTATTTTTGTGCCAGTGGTTGTTAACTTCTCAAAATTGCCTTGACAATGCCTGTGGTGCCCACTCCCTGCCTCCTGAGAGCAGCTGCCAAGCTGAGGTTCCCCCTCACCCTCCATTAACCACATGAAAAAAAAAGACCCAGAAAGGTTTTGTATTCTCAGCCCAGTCTGGACGGCTGGGATTCAGCGTCTGACTCAGCCTTTCCCCAGGTCGGGATTGTTTCCTGCTCAAGTGAGATGGGCTATAGGGAGGATGCTTCTGTCTCTCCCTCGCTGTCCCCACCACCCCCCTGTCGCTGCCTGTCAGGCCTTTATCCTCATTGAGATGCAAGGCTGGCCGCTGCGGCCATCCGCTGAGCCGTCTGCTCCTGAAGGCACCTTCCCCCCCTCCTCCCGGGGCTGCCTGTGGAGCTATTCTTCAGCCTCTGCATTTCACAACAGCTCCAAGGCAGATGCATCAATCCTTTCAGGGGATGGGGACGTGAGGAGAATGGCAAGGGGGCTGCAGGCAGGTGTTGGTAGGTTCCCAGCCATCTCGCAAGCCTTGTCTCCCTCCCTGTCCCCCGCCGGCTTGTGCCTGAGGCTTGGATTGAGGCATGGGGCAGGGATGGGGAAGGGAAGAGGATGGGGAGGAAGAGCGCTGGGATATGCTGGCCCCATAGACATGCCCAGCCGGGATGCAGGCAAGCTCCCAGCTGTCTGCACACTGCAGCCTTTCCCCCAGGAGGGGAGCAGGGATCCAACCCTGTCTGCTGCGGGTTTACACCAGGGATCAATTTGGCCCCGGTGCAGACAGCTGAGGGAGGGGGAACAACCCCACGGCCGCTAGCAAACGTGAAGGGTGGGGAGAAAAAGGAGGGCTGGGGACGGAGGGTTGTTCCTTCCAAAGTCGCCGCCTGCGCGAAGGGCACTCCTGTCTCGCACACTGAAATGGGTTGGGGATGATTCAGGACTGGGTCTCCAGGACCCCCCCTCGACTCCCTCACGTAGCTGCTTCGGTCCCGCTGCTCTCCCGGCCCTGGCACGGGGCAGGAGGGAGGTCTGGGTCTGGCCGGCTCGCAGTCTGCGGGAGGGCGGCTGGTTCCTGGTGTGTGTTTTACCCGTAGGTGCCACAATCCTTTGACTGTGTGTTCGAAAGCCTTGAGTCTATACATTTAAGAATCAGCAAATTAGAAAAATTGTCCTGAAATGTTGGAGGGAAGAACAAGGCAGGAAGGCAGAGAGGGAGGGGGAAGGACTTGGAGGGAGGGAAGGGGTTGGTAAAAGAGAGTTCATCCAGGGGCACTGCCCTGGCTTTGCGCCCATCGCCTGCGGGCTGGGAAGGAGGGAAGGAGGCAAGGACGAAAAGGGAGGACTGATTTCACACATTCAGTGCATATCATACAACCAGGGCAAGGCTTTCCTCCCAGGGCTCCTACCTGGGATGGCATCGCTGCGTAGCCAGTCTAGAGCCCTGCCCAGCAGCCCGAACCGTACTCACAGCAGGGTTACAATTCACTGCTTCATTGCTCGGGGGAAAGATACCTTCTCCTTTCTTTCCTTTTTTTTTTTTTTTAATTATATATATCTTTTTAAGGACTTTTTTCTCCCTTTTTTGTTTCTTTTTTTTTTTTTTTAAGTCTTATAATTTTCTGTAACAGCAGCTTCTTTCTGTATTGGTGTGGAAGTTATATATAGAGAGATATCTATAAATATATATGTAAGCCAAACTGCCTTACAGGTTGTTGTTTCATGGGATTTTTGTTGGTTTGCTTTTTGTTTTGTTTTTTTCAGTGTTGTATGTGTAGCAGGCACTTGAGTTTATATGAAGATGTTTGCTTGGGAGCTGAGGGGCAAAGGACTTGGGAGAGGGAAAGGGAAGGAAGGACGGAGGAAGGAGCAGGGACTTTCGACGGGTGGCCACTGCTAGCCAAGGATGTCCAGGTAGATTGGTGTGGCCTTGCCCAGAGCATGAAGGATCTTGTAGATCTCCTTGATGTTGAGCCGTTGCTGAGGTTCTCTCTGCCAGCAGCCCAACATGATGTCGTAAACCTCCTTGGGGCAGACTCGAGGCCTTTCCAAAACTCGGCCTTGGGTAATGCATTCAATGACCTGAAAGAAAGAAAAAAAAGAGACATTGAACGCCAGTTGGGCAGTTCCTGGAGGATGTCCTGTCCCAGCTACTTCTTGGCTGATGTGGTACCATTTAGTGAATGGGAGCACTGAGAAGCCAAGAGATCTGCAGATCCTCAGCGCTCACCTGTTTGTGTGTAGTTAATGATAATTTTACAGTGAAAAGTTTGTCTCCAGCTGCAGTCTTGCAGTTCCCAAAAACCTTCCTCATTTGACACCTAACTACCTCAATTCACTCTCCAAACAGGATTTCCCAAGCAAATGAAATGAAGTTTTAATTTATGATGTCAGTTTTTTCTGCTAAATTGAAGAAGGAAAAAAAAAACCTTAAAATCCCCAAACTAAAGTAGTATTTTGCACAGCTGAAATTATATTTTTCTTCCCTGAAAGTCAAGAGTCCTTTCCATTGCAAAGCCCAGGAGAGTTCTACAAGAGTTCAGAGCATCTTTTCCTACCTCCATTTCCAAGGGCAGATTTGCCTCATTTTGACAGAGAAAAGCAGCTGAAAGAATGAAATTTCATCTCAAATCACATCTGTGATGGAGAAAAAAATTTGCAGCACTAAGACTCTGTTCTGGGTCAGGTCAGTGCTGCTAATGAGAGAAATGTGAGCTCTTGGACAGCACTGGAGTCTCTTCAGAGGGATGCCATTGGAAAGGGCTCCCCTAAGTGTCTGTTTGCGTTTTGCTCACCGGAGGAATGGATGCCAAGGGAAGGGGGGTATGATTTGTCAAAGAGCTGCTATTACCGTCTGGCCTCCTTGGTTGGAGTTGATGAGTCCCAGCATTGCAGTGTGCGAGTGACCTGCCACGCTCTGCAGATAAACACAGATCCCAAGCAGTGTGTTGAGGGAAGCCACCCAGCAAGGAGTGTTTGGAATTTATCATTTATGAATAGTAATGGGCCTGCCACACAGCTCAACAGATACTTATCGCTTTGCTGTTTGCATATAAATACAGAGGGGAGAGATTAGGACCTGCTGAAAGCTGGGCGAGGAAGACGCAGCAGGCAGAGAAACCTGCATCGCCGTAAAGCTGCTCGGCAGCGGTGACCTGTGGGAGGAGGTGAGTTACGGTTTCTGACAGGACATGCTGGACATGCACAGGAGCCCTGTGTTGGGCCCTTTGTCTCCAGGACAAAGGAAGGACATAGACAGAAGTTAATGGACTGGCTGAGGCTTTCAGATGAGGGGGTGCCCTGCCTCGTCCCTCTGCTCAGGCAAGGTCTCTTCCAGCCTTGAACAAAGCTACTAAAAATGCTCTGGGGGTACGAGGCCATGCGGATGCCACAGGAGGGAGCGAGCGTCCCAGCCTTGTTAATGCCCAGCAACCCAACAACAGCAGTGCTCCGCCAGCCTGGTGATTGCTCACGCTCCGGTCTGGAGCCTGGCACAGACTCATTTAACCTGCCTCTCCACGGGGCTCCGCAGCTGCGGCCAGGCTGCCGCTGAGACTTGCTCTGATGCCTCACCATCCAGGAGCTGGTGGAGGTGTCAGTCCCCTGCAACCACCCAGGTTCTGCCCACCTCTCCACAAATTGTGAAAAATGAACCAGGTGAGAGCTAATGTGGCTCCCTCCAGGATAGTGTGGTCTGGGGTGGAAGTCTTCAGCTCTCAGAAAGAAGTGGATACAGCAATAGGAAAGGAAAGGATAAGAGTTTTCCATGGATGGTAGAAAAGCCAATACAGCTGTATCGGTGCAGACTTTAGTCAGCCCTCCTCCCTCAAGGTTAGGGGTGACTATTCTCAGTCCTACTGCCCCGCAAAGGAAACTGAGGCAGAAAGCACGGGAGCAGCTGAGCTGTCATATTCCAGCGTGCCTATCACCCATAGACAAGCTACATGTGCTCATTTGTGTGTGTTTGTATTTACCCTCCCAGGGAAATGCAAGAGCAGCTCATTAAATAGCGTGACAAATAACTTCTGTCGCTGTCGATTCCATTGTTTGTGTCTCTAAAATGTTTGCGTGTGCTACTTTGGGATATGCAGTCAGGCCCCATTGAGCACACGAATGGGCAAGTATTAGAGCTGTAAAGCAACACCTTGGATTTGCCATCTCTGCAACTCACTTAATTAAGGGATCTGTATCCAGAAAGCAGAAAATGCACATTTCTCATTACAAAAGGTGAAATTTCTGAAATCCATTAGATACACAGTAGGATAAAAATGTGCAAGATTCCCACACACCGCTATGTCAATGCATCTTGTTCCTCTTCTATAATACCCCCTGCTATTCCGAGCAAAAATCTTCCAAACCATTTCTGCTGATGTGCCTCAAACCTCAGCTCTGACACTCTGCTAATCCCAGCCAGCCTTTCCTCCACATTTTTACAGTACAGCCCTATACTGACGGGCTGCAACTTTTGCTATTCAAAGAAACAACAAGGATGAACCAGGTCCTTGGGTCCCACCCTCAATGAACTGGGGCAAACCATGTAATAGATATCCCTATGGGAAAAAGCCCCACAGAGACGTGCCATGTGCTATATAACAGGCTTCAAACACTTTCTCATAAACCGAAGGCTGCAGTAGGAGCCCCAGCTATAAAGTAAGGAGAAAGAGAGCAGAGGAAATGCAGGACATGGCAATAACTTAGATCCCAGCAGTAATTTGGGTATCCTCAGTTCTGGCAGCACCCCAAGAGTTTCTCAGATGTGGCTGTTATGGAGGTATGTCAGGAACTTAGAAGGGAGAGACTGAGGATGAGCCAGTACATGGCTTTAGCAGAGCCTTTTGATTCCTGCATGCCTCAGTTTCCCCAGCTCTTAAATAGTGACAATGACACTTCTCCCATGGTGAAGCCATGGGAGTGCCAAGGAGGGGACTATCTATGCACGAACTGCTTTGCAAGCAATCCGGAAAGGAGAGGTGGTAAAAAGTACAGTTTCCAGCTGAGGTGTCTCAGCACTGTTGTACCTCTGTGTTTGAGAGCTGAAACCAGGGCTGCTTCCCATATGTGAAGATCTCCCAGAGGATCACCCCGAAGCTCCAGACGTCACTCTCTGTTGTGAATTTCCTGTACATGATGCTCTCCGGAGGCATCCAGCGGATAGGCAGCATGGTGTGTCCTCCAACCTGGGTGAGGGCAAAGGCACAAGGAAATCTGAGTGATGAGAGCCCCGAGGAAGGGGTCAGCCCTGACGTGACAAACTCAGGGCCTCCCTGTGAGCTACATCAACAAGGAGCTGTTCAAAAAAGCTGGGCTGGCTACTGGCTCCCCGACCACCCATGGGCTTACCCACCAATCCCACCTGGTTAACATGATGGATAGGGAGTGAAATGTATCCAGACAAATGATGTCCTCTCCTCTCAAAACGGGCTTGTAAGGAAATCAAATTACAAAATGCCAAGAGTATACTCCAGCCCTACAGTCTGATGAACCAGGAGGCAAGGCAAAGTATTGTGTTGAGTTTTGCAGGGCCTCAGTGCTCTGAGGCACCCACCAGAAATACAGCGTGAGGTTCATCCCTCTGCGGTAAGGTTTTCTAAAAGCCATGCACAGGCATCTGCACATCACCTAATTGCATGAAAGATTTTGTGCTCATAAAACTGTGCTACAGGCCTTTTCAAAAAGAGCTTTGAATATGTAAATGACTGCAGGACCGCACTGCAAAAAGGCGGTCTGTTTGTAAAGAACAGGCTCTTACAGGCAGGGATATGCCCAGCTTTTAATGGAGGCAGGAAAGCCAGCCCCTTTGGAGGGTTTGGAAATGGAAGAGCCCATGGGCGAAGTCCCATTGGGGTATGCCAAGCCAGGGAAAGGCACTTTCTCAGTCAGGGTCTACCCTCTCTAGGGCACATGAATCCAGCAGGTATACAGCAGGTTTGCAGGATACATGCAAACAGTTTGAAAACAGCAGATTCACTAGAGATTTCCAAAAAAGTGTCTCTGAGCAGGACAAGTTTTTCTCTGTTCTGTCCTTCTACATAAGAAGCACCATCTGTGGGGAAATAGCTAATTGATAAGCCCAGCCGGTGCTGGAAGCAGTATGGCTGCAAGTCTCCAGCACTCGTTTCTGCTGAGGGTAAAGTGTCCGAGGTTTTAGTGGTGATGAGAAAGAGGGCTTTTTTGGTACTGCTTGGAAGACTGCTTGTCTCATTATGGACTCCAAAAAAGCAAGTGCTAATAACTTTGTAGCACTGCAACTGAATCAAACAGGCAGAAATCTCTCTGGTCCTATGACAGATCAGGGGAGAAGGTATCTGGTATCTAGGTTTCCAGCATATGTATGGCTATTCAAAATAATGAGATTGTTGCGCTTGCTTGGATGAAAACGTTTCTTGTACAGTTTTCTCAAGCTGCCACAGGTTTCTTTGCCTGATTAAAGCAGAGCTGGTGTGGGGAAGTGTCAGTACAGAGGCACGCTGCAGTGCTTGGAAAGCAAGAGGGACAATGCTGGGGAGGAGTGTTGGAAAAGGGTGTGAAATGGCTATGATGCTTAGCAGGCTTTCTGCATGGAGGGTGCGAGTCAGACTTCTCTGGGGTTTGACAGAATTCGGACCCGGGCTGGCAGCGTTGTACCCAGAGGTCTGCAAACCAGCCCTTTTTCTAACTCTGAAACAGCTTCTTCCTACAAAAAAGAGAAGGGGTTTTAAAGGTCTCAGGAACATCTTTCTTTCCTAAGTGCAGAAGTGCTCAGAAGTGCGATGCATGAAGATAAAAAGCTCATTGCAGCTCTACACCTCCTATTTAGAAATGGCTTGGCTGGCATGTTCTCAGCTTGCTGCTCTGAACTCCCAAGAATGTTCTCCCGTAATGGAAATGGAAATATGCTTTTCTTTCTTTGTTCCTTTGAAACCCTGGCTGCAATTTTAGCTCTTTCCTGCATTCCCAGCTTTTACAAGTTGCTTTCCCTTCTTGTGCAGGGCTCTGAGGAAATGTTATCGACAGAACAGGACATGCATCAAACTCGATTGTTGCAAAAACTGTTTTGTGCTAACGCTTTTTGTTCTCCTTTAAGTAGCACTAACTCTTCAGTTTTCCAGCAATCTCAAAATGATTACTTATTGCAAAGCTCTCTACATTTGCAATATCCTGAATCTTGCAGGATCATTTGAGATTACAGGCAGTACAACATATTGAGCACACTTAAACTCCCTTTTGAACAGCTTATGGCAGTTCAGAATCTTTGAACCAGGCCCTCAGCTTACACAAACACTGTTACAGCAGTTTTGCTTGAATGGGAGGGCCCTGGTTTACACCACTTGAGAATCCGAAAGCAGAATGGAGAAGCCAGTAGTTCCATCTCAGTTCTAATAAGCTAAAATAAAGTCAAGGTCTTTGGTCTCCTCTAGACACATCCTGGTGAAGAACTGCCAACAGTCAAGGGTTGTCCCAAGGATGTGATGACACAATCTTAGCTCATATGGTAGAGCCCAGGGACTGCCAAAGCATTCCTCTCAGCCCTGTATGTCATGTGAGACACACCTTTTACTAAAAATTAATCCAGTAATAATTAATAATCAAACTAGGGGGGGGGGGAACAAGCAACGCCCAGAAATGTGTAGATCCCAAAATATGGCTCAGTTATGCTCATAGATAAGGAGGTATTCTTTGCAGAGGTGTCCTTTGCATCTCAAACAAGGTGCCACATTTTTGAGAGGAAATGTTAAGTCTTGCACTCGCTAGCTATAAGCAGAACAGGCACCAATTAAGCTGTGCCATAAACCACTCCAATGTCTAGCTTAGCACATAAGGCTGACTATTACATTTTAAAGATTTGACTATCCCATACTGCTCCCCTTGCAAACTGATTAGGATTAAAATTCCCATTTAACAGATGAGAAAACAGATGCAGGAAGGCAGGGAAAGGCCCTGCTCTGAAGCTGTATAGTACGTGAACACTAAGTCGAGTCTTCCTGGTCTGCAGTCAGCGGTACCCTGTTATTTGCTGATGTGGCAAAATTATTTAGAGCTGAGCACAGAAGGATTGTGCTACTGATGCCATAGGGAGCAGAGTGTGTCCAGGGTGACAGAAATCCTTTGCATAACACCTAGCGGCTGTGATCTGTGTTACGCCAGTGTAGACTTGCACGTGATTCCAACGGCTACATACTTCTTTCACAGGACCAGCCGTTGCCAAAAGCTTAAAAGCAAAACGGTGCTATTAAATCAGGCTAAAAAAAAAAAAAGATGCTGTGTTTTTCTTTTGCAAAGACAGTTTACATGGCATGTCCTTGGCTCTGGAAAGAATCGTTATCATGTCTTTAGAGAGAAGCTGAAAGTTTGCTTCAGTCAAGCCCCTGTTTGCTCTGAGCTGGGCCTGGCAGGTTTCAGAAATAAGTGACCATGCAGGACTGATGCTTGTCAGGAGCATACTACTTCTGAGACTTTTCTAAAACAGTCATGTCATCTTCCCACCCCACCTTCCCCACGCCATTCTCCTTGGGAGCCAGGGATGGGGGAGCCCAGACATCATGCAGGTTCATCTTCTAAACGCCCCTAAGGGTGATATGTCCTCAAACAGTGGCATTGCAACGTCTCCCCTGGAGACACTCCACAACCTGGAACAGGGATTTGCTTTCAAGCAAATAAGGCAAGTAAATCTTCTTCTGTTCCTCCCTTTAAATCCTACTATGCTGCCAAGTTCGCCCTTTCTCCTTGTTATTTTAATGCTTCATAGACCTGCAGACTGGCCACTTCATCCCATTGCCATGGCTGTCTAGCTTTGCTTGACATTTTTAGCTCTCTAACTTTCTCTCCCTAGATCAACTCCCCATGCCCATGTTGACATGTTATTCCCACTGCTTTGCTCTTTCTGTTTGCAGTACTATCCTGGTAATAAATAGAGCAATCAGTGCATATCCTCCGAATGGCCAAAGTTTCCTTCTTCTGTCTCCATTTCAAGATCACAGAATCACCTACTTGTTTCCATCCCTTTCTAATGGATATTCCCAAGTGCATGACCTGGTCTACAGCCACATGTTTCTGATACTCCAGGGCACCTGGCCTCTGCTCTGAAGCCTCATTACGCGTCCAAGCCCGTAGACTTGCAAGATAACCAGCCACTCCCTTTGAGGAGCTTATTGCTGTATTAGATATAAACCTTGGGGAGCTGGAGGAGGTTCGTGAAAGGCAGTATTAATGGCCGTTAGGGAGAGAGATAATTACTTAATGCTAGTGCAGCCCTTTGACAATGTAAAGCTATATAAGTGCTATGTACAAGCAACATTATAAGGCTCGAGGTTTGTCTGCTATCAAGGAAAGCTGGTGTCTGGGGAAAAAGTTCTCCTTGTCCCAGCTTTCTGAATGACATCCAGCTGATTAGGAAGGGAAAAGATGGCATGTTATCCCCAATGAGTTCAACGGTACAGCAGCAGGTAGTGGAGCAACAGTGTTCAGCGAAGACTGTGCAATATAGCCACTGTTTGGGCCACTAACAGAGAAACCATGGAAATCAAAACCAGAGTAAGGCTGAAAAACCCTCATGAGAACTGTGGACTGGTGGGAATTCAGATCCTAACATGTTAGAGGCAGCTCTTGGTGGGCAGCCCTGTTTTCCCCCTCCCGACTCACACACTAGCTCCAGGGCTGTAGCTCAAAGTAGCATTCAGAGGGCAGCTACTGAGCCATCCCCTCCGTGCTCACAGCTGAGGGTTGCTTCATGGATCTCAGCTAAGAACAGAATTTGGTCTCTGGCATACTCTAAGGCTGTGTTTTATTTTAATTTTTGTGCAGTTTCCTTCCCAACTTTGAAATAAAATGAAAAATAAATCAGTACTTTTGTTTTCCTTGGTCATTGGACATTTGCTTTCCAAGGTCATTTGATAGCGTTCTTCCTGTTCCTGGCATACTTTAGAGAGGTTCTGCTTCTGCTCCTGCCTTGGGAAAGTCACAAGAACCACCATAGGTGTCTTCATATGGTGCAGCATTATTCGAACTTCCCTTTTATGCACAGGAAGCTGAGACATTTGAGTTTCTAGAGAATCAAGTAGCAGCAGTGGAGACCTTGGCACCGTTTCTCTCCAAGAAAATCCACTCAACACAATCCACACAACCTAGTGAAAAGACACACATTCTCTGATCGCTGTTTCTGTTCCTGCTGCTGTAGGTAGGGATGACCTGGGATCTTCTT